CCTGGCCGAAAAGGCAGAGAAAGCAGCAACAGATGGACACTTGTGGGTTGTACACCAGAAAACAGAATTTTTTTTTTAGGTAGGTTTAGCAAGCCAGCTCTACCATGAAAGACAAAGAGGGAAAGACTATCTTCAACACAGAGGGGCAACTAAATCGATGGAGAAAACACTTTAATCAACTCTTGAACCGGCCACCTCCAGAAAACTAACCAGAAATTCTTCCAGCCAGTAATGACCTCCCAATAGTTACGGAACCACCTTCGAGAGAGGAAATGGCAGCAGTTATAACATCACTGAAGTCCTTCAAGGCAGCTAGTCCCGACCACATATCACCGGAGTCCCTTAAGGCAGATAAAGATACATCAGTGGACATTTTCTATGCTCTATTTGAAAATGTTTAGCAAGAGGAGGAAATACCACTAGACTGGAAGGAAGGCCACCTAATCAAGCTGCCAAAGGAATGAGACCTCAGCAATTGTAACAACTACAGAGGCATAACACTCCTGTCCATAACCGGGAAAGTCTTTAACAGGATACTCCTGGAGAGAATCGAGCTGGCAACAGACGAGAAGCTCCGAGGAAACCAGGCAGGATTCCACAAAAACTGATCATGTGTGGACCAGATTGCTTCTCTGCGCATCAATGTTGAGCAATTGCTTGAATGGAATCCATCACTCGCGGTCAACTTCATTGATTATGAAAAAGCGTTTGACAGCGTGGACAGGGAAACTCTGGGGAAACTCATACGGCATTATGGAATACCTGACAAAATCGTCAAGATTGTGAAAGCCACTTATGATGGAACAAACTGCCAAGTCTTCCACGAAGGACAACTCTCGGAACCATTCCAGGTACAGACAGAAGTGCGACAAAGATGCTTGCTCTCACTTTTTCTCTTCATACTGGCAGTTGACTGGGTCATGAAAGAAGTTACCAGGGGCAAGTGTAATGGAATACAGTGGATCCTTAGGCAACAGCTGGACTACTTGGACTTCGCCGATGACCTTGCACTGCTCTCTCACACACATGCTCAGATGCAAGAGAAGACCAAGGAACTTAACATCCTACCAATGATTGTTTACCTACGTATACATCCAGGCAAGTCGAAAGTAGTGAAGCTAGTTTGGACGTGTCATCGATGGTAAAGGTGGAACAGAGGAAGATGTTGAAGCAAGAACCGCCAATGCAAGGTCAGCATTCAATCAATTATCAGAAGTCTGGAAAGCAAGCAACATCTCACTGTGCACCAAGATTCGACTCTTTAACTCCAACGTCAAGTCTGTGCTCCTCTACGTCTACGAACCTTGGAAGACCCACAAAAAAAGTACTGAATAAAGTCCAGACTTTCATCAACAAATGTATAAAGAGTATTCTAAGAATTAAGTGACAGGGTAGAACAAGAAACGAAGAGCCGTGGGAAAGGACAGGACAAAAGGATGTAGAAGCAGAAATAAGACTAAGAAAGTGACGATGGGTGGAATAAAGAAAGCCCAGCGGAAACATCACAAGACAGTCACTGCAGTGGGAGCACGAGGCCGGGGAAGGCCTCGGGAAAACATGGAGGAGATGTGCTGAAAAGGACATGGAAGAGATGAAGCTCACTTGGAACGAGCTGGAAGGATGGCCTAGGACAGAGATAAATGGAAGGAGCCTGTATGTGGCCTATACCCTGCCAGGCGTGAAAGGCATTGATTACGATGAAGTTGGATAAGTGAGAGAATACCGAGAGCGAACCAGATAACTCTTTTTTTAAAAATCCAGTACAATACACTGGTGTGTTAGATGAAAAACTTGTCCCATTTCAGCTGAACACGAGTGTGATGCATTTTAACAAGAGGTTATGAAGCCTATAAAAAGCACGTTGAATTTACTCTGAAGAGATGAATGAAATGAATAGGCCTACATTATTTTGGTGACCCAAGTCCTGAGCATGATACAAACACATCTTCCAAGTACAGTCGAACTTCGGAAACCTGTGTAAGACGGAAACCTGTCATAACGGAATATCCCTGCTCCCCTCTTGATAAATTCCGTTATGATTACCTCTTTAAAATTGGAAACCTGTCGAAGTCGGAAACAGGAAGAGAAATTCCTTACCTTCAGAGGGTTTTTGCCTGTCTAAGACGAAAAAAGCTTTACCCTCTCAGTCCTGATTTGAAACAAAACTATCAAGTTTTGTTCCATCGGCTCTTCACTAACCCTTACACCATGCCGCCTAGCAAAAAAGGGGAGTAGGGGTGCAATTTGTCGGGAGATGTTACCCCATTCATGTGAGTCGTTAGCGGTGCAGATGGCCAGGGTGGTGTTGGTATGGAATCTCACCAGTACCCGTGCAAGTGCTCGAGAGGCGCTCCAGCAAGGAAACTTTGATCGGTAGCCAGAGGTCAGAGATGTGAAATTATTTGACCGATGCCTGCCGCCCTGATCGTACGGCCAGCCTCCTCGAATCCTTATTACATAGTAGTGAGGAGTGGCATTAGTTGACAGTGCTTATTACGCCGATAGGTGGGGCTAAGGGTGGAAGGAAAGAAGATGTTCAAACGTTTCTGTTTTTAATAGGTCAAACAGTGGTCCTATGAAATGCAAGCACTGGTGGCAATGGATAAGTAAGACTGGCGCATGCCATCAGAGAGGGTATCACTTAAGAGGTGTGAAGCTTTATTTAACCACTGCTTGTCGATCGGACAAGTGACCCTTGATCTCACCGGCTGGGCCTTTGAAACCCCCACCATCTCCCCCTAAATTCCCCTGGCCAAGACGAAAAATGTGTAAGACGTATTTTTTTCTGGCTCCCTTGCGATTCCGTCTTACACAGGTTCGACTGAATTAAAATGTCTTTCCCGCCGTGGTGTCATGGCGGCGGGCCCGACAAACTAACAACGCACATAGTAGTAGTTTGGTGACCCCAGGGCTTGGTAATCAATGTCTAACTCAGGGACAAAGCCTAAATGCATATTTAGCGAAGTCAGGACATGCCACGGCTTTTTGAGTGCGAGTCCGCTTCGTATTATACATGCATAAACACGTTTTGTGTTACAGGCCTGATCTGGATCTTTAAATGTACCGGTACCGCACAGGTGCTAACCCCATACCTTCCTCCTCTCCCCTCTTTCTCTCTCTCTCTCTCTCTC